AAAGGAAAGATTTTTATGAATAATATAGTAAATATAGTCAACATTACAATGGAAATCGGACCATATATTCCTGAATACATAATTCAGGTCTTCCAATAAGTAGAATGAAAACCTTCAGGATGCAGCACACTGAGATAATGTAAGCTTAAAAAGATTTGTTTTATTGACGGAACTGAAGCTGAGGTTGTGATCCACTACAAGATAGACGAATTGGTGGGCTTATGTTCACCCATGTCTAGTCTTATAGGGAGTTGTTGTTAAAGACGACCGGGAATGACTACTGAAGAATGATAAATTTAGCAGGTTGTACAAGAACAGAAGCATATATACATCAGTATATCAAACTTATCCTTAACGCTAAGTTCTACTGCCCACCCAATACTTTAAATTTTACCTTTTGCATATAGTGTACAAATGATCAAGCTAACGTTATTAGCTATCTGACGTGAAATCTACTGCATAAAATATTTGTCACCTTGCATCGGTCACCTAAAATCTAAGACATATAGCCAACGATTACTCAGTAAACTATATAGACAGGAATTGCAATAAAACAATAATGTGACTATAAAGTTGACATATTTGAATATTAACAATGATTGGGATTTTCATTCTCTGTATTAGAAAATCATTATTTCAAAGTAACGCAAATGTAAAGGAATTTTCTGTTCTAAAACACTCAATGGTATAGTGCACTAATAAAGCAGACTTTGAGAATTTTTTTCATTTAGTTAAGTCGGATGTAACGTCGAAGAATTCGTAACCTGAAAGTTTTTATTTCTTTTAGCGAATAGTGTATAGATATTACTGATAACAAAGTTTTGAGCAAAACCTTCGTTCATATGTTGAAAAGCTGAGTAGTTGAGAGATTATGTGTATGAAATGGTATTGGTTATTAGGACTCATTAAAAATAAGTGTATAGATAAAGCAAATGTTCAATATGGGTATAAACTGTTCAGTTCTAGTTGCGTGTACGATTGCTAGATTAAGTGTTTACATACTCTGTTATTGCATCATCCACCGTAGCTAAGACTAGTGACATTGGGTATCAAACTATATGTTTTCATAATGTTCTGACGAATTTTGATAGCCAAACAATTAAATAAACTTATCTTTCGTGTTACTGTTCAAATCCACATAAGCTTAACTCATCATCGAATTGCACAGTAGTTTCACACCCTTTACACTGTACACGCACCTCACTGCTTATATATATATATATATATATATATATATATATATATATATATATATATATATATAAACGCAGTTACTGAGTTCCAGGTAACCCATAATCGGAAATGCTTGTTCTCGGATTGTTTCATAGATTGCTAGTCTTCAGCAAATGCGATTTGGTGACAAAAATAAATGGTAACGGGATCCCTATTAATTTCATTCGTCAACTGCTAGTCAAATCCACTGAGAATACTGATTCCAACATAACTTCGGGGCTCCAGTGAGCTCTCAGTGTATGAAACATGGTAAGATTTATTTTGATTGTCCATTCACTAAGTCTCAAATGTTGATGTATGTGCAGACAGACACAGGGAGAAGTGTTCAAACTATGCGGTCGAGCTACATATAGGTACATATGCTCGAATTTCTTGTAAGAGTAGAAATCTTGAAGTTTCGTAAGCACAGGTAGGAGATAATCCTTTTTATTCACAGCGTAACGCATTGTAGAAACAGGCTACGTAATTAGTTTCCAATGATCTCTTACATTTTCATGCTAAGTAGTCGAGGTTGCACATTAGGATTTGTGGGAGCGATAACCGTGAGCAAAATCAGCTTGTCCTGACACTGCAATTTCCTTGACAATCCACTTCTCCTCCTCTTTTTCTTCTCTATACAGGCTGACTGCATAACTGAACGTAAACATTGCAGTTGTATGTGTTCTGAGAAGTGTGTATCATTGTTGACGAGAAGAGCCCTTGTATCCTTGACCAGTTTCGATTTAACACAGGGGTATAGAGCTGTAACGTTTCTGAGAATAGAAGAAAACTATTTAATGACTATTCTCCAAAAGAACGGCTATACATACAACTTCATCAAAAGATGTTAGCATAATTCCTCACCAACCAAGAAGTCAACCTCGAAAACCAACAAACAGGTTGTCCTAACCTACATGAAGAACATCTCCAAGATCACGACTAGATTATTGAAGTCTTTTGGTATCGCTGTATCTCACAAACCCACAGGATATCTTCACTCTTTGTTCAGCAGGCGAGAAGATACAATAGCAAAGGAAGAAAATAAAAAATTATCTACAAACTTCAAAAGCAGGAACTGCCAAAAACACTATATCAGACAGAGTAGTCGCCCTCTTCGTATCCGTATACGTGAATATCAACTAATAGTGAAGCGTTATAACACAACTTCGCTCATACCAGTGTAAATGGACTACTGTGGACATGAATTTGACTGGGAAAATGTGAAAATCCTGGACCGAGGAAGAACAAAGAGAATTTCTAGAAGCTTGGTATTCAGGTCAGTCAGTTATCAACAGACATATTGACATTGACCCAACCTATCAACCAATATGAAACAATGAGAAATTCAAACTTCAGATCATCAGGACAACCAATCAAAATAAATATGGAGACAATGACAGCCAATCACATACGAGGTCATCACGACAAACAACTGAGTAAGTTGTGTAGAAAACCTTATCCATCACTCCATTCTGAGGTTTGTGCTGATGATGTTGTCTAGAGTGACAATGAAAACTTCACGATTAATCCATCCAGCTCAGAGAACATAACACCATCAAAATCAATTTGTCCTGACACTGCAATTACCTTGGTGGTCCACTTCTCCTCTTTTTCCTTTTTATACAGACTGACTGCATAAGTAAGTGTGCTATTGGATTGATCGAAATACACTGCCGAGATAAGCCACATTATCCAGATCAACTTCGTCTTCCAATCACACACCGGTCAAACGTTTAAAATGGATATATCGTTCTGAAATTAAAGTACTTTTTAATGAAGTGGTGTAGTGTGTCACGTATTCAGGAAGCCTTGATCCACCCTATGGACGACCGACGAGATCTCAGCCCCTATACAAGCAACTCTCCAGTGCTTTTAGGCTTTGAATCGTCATCTAACTGTCAGTCCGTGATGAATACCATCTTGAAATCAATTAATCCTCATAAACCTCCAAATTGGATTACTGATACGAAAGATAGTTATAGGTTTGGCCAAACTATGGTGTTACAGACCCAACTTTAACACTTCACTGGTTATCAGTCATAGGTTTATTCTGCAGCAATGCCTTATCACTTTGAGATTGTTGAGTTAGAACTTTGGAAAATGAAACCGTTTTTTGCCAATGTTTTGGTTGCAGTATTGTGTAGTGAAAGGTTTATTTTAGCGATAAATATATATGTTGCATTTTTTCAAATGGATGGCTTAAGAACATTTAAAATTCTAATCGGTTCAAGGAAATTTCAGATTTGATGAAAAGTCAGCTTTCTATTTGATTAGCCAGGGTGCTAGACCCATAACCCAAAGGTTGTTGATAGGAATTTTTCTTCATTACTGACTGATTTATCATTATTTCATATTATAATCTCTTTGACGAACTTAAGGCATCTGAGGTGACTGAATTTTCAATACTTATTTTAATATGCAAAATAAATTTCTGGAATTATCAGGAGATGCAGCAAAATTTCATGACAAATTAAGTTTTTAATGGTTACGAATTTAGATTATCAGCTATCTTTTTTCATACCTCTATCTGTAAACTTTTCTTAATTTTATTTCTCCTGAATGCTAAGCAATTCTTTCGTCACGTTTACTTCAGAAAAAACACATTCTACTTTAAATTTTGCCTGTAAGAATTATGTGGGTCTTTTGTAAGCATTCAATATAGAAAATCTAAAAGACGTAGCTCATTCTGATTGGACAGTATATATGTTTCCTCACCCACGCTACATACACTTCACATTTAATCTGAATATGTGAAATGTCAATGTTGTAATCTTTGAAATATTGGTAGTAGGAACCTTCAGTTCCAGCTAGGTATACAGACAAGTCAGGAACTTTTAAATGATATTAATCAACAAACTGATTGTAGGCATTATATGTTGGAACACTGCATTTCCATGAAATATTTACAAGGGCAGGAGTCTTTAACATTACACACTTGATTCTATAATCGTGTACTAATACAATTGGATATTATTTGGGAGCAAGTCACTCCTTTTCTTACTGAGTTCCATAGCTTTTTGTCTATGATCATCAAATCTTTAACAGCTCAGAGAGTTTTAGGACACTTTTAGCACTACGCAGAACACTTACAAAAATAAGTATTGATATGTTTACCATATTATATGCATCTTTAAATAGGTCTAAACTAGAAAACTGTACACAGATGGCAAATCCTTGACTGGGAGCTGACTCACACACGAAGCCACTTGTATGAGCCTTACGATAGCTGACCTGACCTACCATGATTGACGTAAGGAGCTGAACGTCTCCCCTCTATCCTTTTGCAGACAGAAGGAAGATCTAATCATGCTGTACAAAACTGTAAGAAATGACTTTTGACCTGGTCTATCTTCTGTTTCCCTTACCATCAGGTTGGGACAACAGAATATAAAAGCAAAGGGCAAACACAGTCTACGTATAGTACGAATTCTCATGTCGAGTATTCAACTCCCGCAACCGACTTCCTAAAGAAGTGGTATCCGCTTCATCAATAACCTCATTCAAAAGAGAACTGGACAAGCATGGAGACCTGTTGGGAATAGATAAACATCGGCTCATAGTCTTCAATCCTCAAACAACAAACTTGAATATCAGTACCATGTCTTACAATGCTAATGAACTTTGTGGTTATCATCTATCGAAACAAGTATTTACAAAATAAAATGAGTATGAACTGCAATTCGTTTGTCATAAGTCAAAACGTCATTGAATATGATTTTTTTGCTGAAAATAAATTATTTTTATTTACAGTCAAGTTTATTGGATGAAGAAAACCTTATATCCAGATCTTATAATAGCATTCTATCTTTTTCTATTTTTGTGACATCTGCATATTCACCACCAGCTTTTTCTCGTGCTTCACTAACTTCTCTGGCAATTTGTTTAGCTTCCAACAACCGCAGTAAATCTGTCCACAGACTAACTTGCTTTAAACCAACTTTCTCATTTTCCAAGAGACGTTTCTGTTCCTCTTTAAGTGTTCTTGTTAATGCTTCTTGTTCAGCTATTTTACGCGTATAAATGTCTCTGAAGATGAGATAAGAGGAAAAACGTATGAAGTACATAACAACCAGAAATATGCTTCTTAGTAGCAGAAGTAATTCTAACTAACGTTCACAAGTCATAAAAAATTCCCTATTTAGATTAAGACTGCTGTTTCATCTTTATGCGAGTGAATTCATCAGCAGTGTATCCGAACTATTTTTTTTAGGTGATTAAATCTCCCCAAATATCCAGATAAATTAGAAGGACTAAAAATAAAAAGGATACAGTATCAGTCAAGGGGATCAAATATAATAAAATAGGTATTTTTATAGAATTAACAGCTGCTTGGTATGAGACATTGCCAAAAAGTAGGAATAAGCCCAAAGGTGATCAAAATGGACTCCATTTGACAGGGCACAGGAAAGCAAAGAGGGATAAAGTCGTCAAACTTTGGGGAAAAAGACGAATAATGGGGAGTAATACTTCCTTTCGGAATACATTTACTTTTCAAGTCGCTATTGTAGGTGACCGAAAAAGTAAATTGTATTTGGATTCAAACAAAAGACTTCTGGATTGCCATTGGTTTGAACACTGAGGGAAACGAGGTTTTCTTTCATCCGCAGTCACCATAATGTACACTCATCATTCTCAATACTAAAGAATTATATAACTGAAAAAAATGAGAAGAATGTGAAAAATCTGACAAAGTCAAGATTTGCATATATGACTTTCAATTATTGGGAATCCGTTAACACATAAAAAAGAATGGATCTTTCAGGAACTGTTGGTAATTAATATTACAGACCAGTGTTTTTTTAGAAAGGCCATATACAACAGTATCGTACAGGGTAGCTTCATATTATTCTGATACCACTAAACAACACAGTATGTTAACTGTTGAATTTATGGATCTTAACAACCTTGTTTTAATTTCCAAGTTTAGTTCAGTGATTATAACACGACTTGTGAACAAATAGGTCACAGTTTTGAAGCCAACTAAAATTACCAAGGTCTAGTTGGATATATACTGTGGCCAGCCTTTGCAAAATAAGTACCATATATAATCTAATATATGAAGTTTTGTGTCCTAAATGACCAGTCTGTGTTAGCAAATAAGTTCGTTTTATAATGTGCTTGAACTGTGACAAAAATTTCAGATCGCTCGTTTGTGTTACGTCTTTTGATATATATATACCTGTCTGTTGTGATTTAAATGTTGAAAATCACCAAAATAAATGCAGTCTACGTGCTCAAAGGCATTATGTATATTTTTTGTATGCCTTCTTCGTTAGAACTGGCTGTTCACATAGTTTAAGAAATCATTCTGAAATGTTTCTGTTATACCCAAGCTTTGTAAAGCGATCGCCTTTCATATATATATATATATATATATATATATATATATATATATATATATATATATATATATTTATACATCAGACGCAAGATATACTACAAATGAAATATTACCTGCACGGCTTTACATGAAATTTAAGCTGACACAGTATTTATAGACCAAAGTTGAGTGGTTACTTAACCTATCAAGTTAGCTATAGCCTGATTTGCCTTTATTTTAATGCCAGTCATATTTTGTCCCAGTGTTTTTATAAAGAGCCCGTCACTGACTTGACTCTTATTACCAGCACTAAGTTTAATCTAATTTTTTTAACCTTTATGTTGCAGACGCTATCCTCAGATTAGTCATTGACCCTCACCTTCAAATAGCATCATTTTTTTATTTGTGTATTCAGTGTTTTTCGACTTGACTGATTACTGGTCTCAGCCATGTGGGGCACTGTGGACTTCCAAGTTGCGTCCCACGTGACAACCGAAGTTGATAACTGAAGACTGACGAAGACACAGGCAAGAATCTTTCGCACTGGTGCAGATATACATATTATCTTCATTCTAACCATCAAATGAAACTTCCTGCATTTCATCTCTTTTCGTTGCAACTTAATGTCCTGATTTGAGGTTAAGTAACTTGGACTGTTACACAATAATGCTAAATGCAAATTCATAATGACTGACATAGTAAATTAAAGTGTGATTAGCTTCAAAAACATTCCAACATGTTAGCTAACTGACTGAAGTTAATACTTGAGCTGACTTGATTACCACTTACGTTTTGCTTTTATCTGTCGCTTCGAAAGTAGAAATAACTCAAACTATAGGGTAATTACTGTTGCAAGCATTTACCATACTCCAGAGGTCTGTTTTGTTTCTGCTGAACGGTCAGTGATATTTCTCCTCACCAGCTTGTTCTTGATTGGTTAGCAAATGGTGTCAAAGTGTACACCGATGTATTTACTTCTTTTCAACTTGGACTTAACTATGTGATTTCATAATAATTGAACATCCAAACCTCTCATTGTCTATTTTTGGATTGAAATCAGTTGTACTTTATTCCCCTTTGGACCCCACCTTAGCTATAACTTTCAAATGCATTAGTCAAACACCTAGTTTCCTGAATTGCAATAAACTGAAATGAGTTTGCGATATAGTAGAATAATGCTTGAGTTAGCCTTGCTTTTTGTTACCGGTATTTAACAGAAATATTAGGAATCATAACTCCAAAGACTAAGTATGAAGTAGCCCATTTTTGTACCAAATCGACAACCGAAGCGACAACTCTATGCAACTTTGAGATCAAATGTAGATGTTTCACAAGATGTTAAAGTAAATGAGAGCAGCTGGAAACATTACAAATCAGGATAAGTATCGGCGAATATTCTTGGAAAATGTACAATATTTCATTCCCATGCGATTTTTTTGCCGGTTATTTAAGACAAAATGAGTCGTAAACAGAATAACCTACCTATAGCTTTTTCTTTTCTCGCCTGCTCCAGGTAAATTTTTGTCAGCAATAACAGTAACGCCGCCACCTCCTGCAGACAAATAACCACGCATCTCTTCTTGTAAACGATGTTGTTGAGTGTGCAGTGTTTCTAAAACTGCAGATAAATAATGGAATCTTGATTCTTCAACTTTTTCAGCTTCTCGAGCTCCTCGAACTTCTTGTTCTAGTCGAACAGATTGAGATTCTTGACCTGCTGCCAAGGCATCATGTGCTGATTTCTTTTCTACATGCAGTTGGCTAAGTTCCTGTATAATATTTATGATAAAAAATAAAATGCTTGTATGCGTGTAGTCACAAGCATGTTAGTTCAATAAAGGCAGTAGCTGACTTGATATCTTCATTGTCTCTGATCCACTCAAATGCATTAGTTTTCTTTACAGAAACCCTTTACATCTTGTGACTTCAGAACTAAGTGCTTTTGGAGCGAATAACATAATCGACAGATTAACATAAAGAAGTAAAACCGGACATACAAGTGCATCGGTTGAAGATACTACACTTCTCAATAGCAAAGAAAGAAGAAATTGGAAAAGGGGGGTTGGAGATTTAGCGATATTTTAAGTTGGATTTTATCATGAAATAAATCCCCACAAACCCCCGAATTTAACTGAACTAACAAAAGTTGGAAATATGGAGCATTGGATTTTGACCCAGTGGCTCAATGGCAACGCGCTGGCCGCGGAACCTGAAGGTCGCAGGTTAGATCCCTGCTGGTGGGGTCGTGGGTGCGCACTGCTGAGGAGTCCCATACTAGGAAGAAACAGCTGTCCAGTGCTCCCAGGTTCCCTTTGTTCCTCCAACTGATGTCAGTCTACGATGAATAACAACTTGAAATGAACTAAAGGTCATTGGTGACTAGCTTTGAGAGGTGATATCTGAAGTTCCAATGAGAAGTCGTGACCAGTGGGACAAACCTAGTGCTCGTGAAAACATACACTCAACGATGACATTGGGTAGTCATCGCGCTGTGTCGTAAACTGACAGAAGTTGGAAATGCAGATCGCCAAATTTCAACCCAGTGGCTCAATAACAACGTGCTCGCCACGGAACATGAAAGTCGTGGGTCCCCACTGCTGAAGAGCCCAATACTGGAACAAAGCAGCTGTCCAGTGCTCACAGGTTTCCAATTTCCGTCAAATGATGCCATCCCATGATGAAAACCACTTAAAAGTCGAATAGAATCAAAAATAATCAAGAAAAATAAAAGTTGCATGAGAAACAAACCGACAAAAAGTGACAAAAAGTTGAGGAAGATGCTATTTAAGTGCTTGTGCCTGTTCAAGAGATTTTTATGCATTTCACTCAAAGTATTATTATTATTATCTCTGCCTTGGGTTCCTAGTGGAACATACCGCTTCAGTAGCACGTCTCCATTTCACTCCCTTCTCTGCAAACTTTTGAACCTGGCTCCACGACTGCCTAGAAGCTCTCATTTCTTCCTCACACCATCTCCTCCATGTCACTCTCGCCTCCGACGCCCAACTCGTCGTTTCCCATCTGAGTTCCACTCGCCAGCCTGGCATGGTGCGTGGTGTCTGTCCCCAGTCGGCCTTCTCAGTGTATGCTCAATCCAATCCATCTCCACTTGCTTCTACATATTTGTTGAGTGATAGGTTCTTGGTTGGTTCTTTGCATGCCAGAGTTCCTTGTTGCTTTTTCCTATTATTCTGGCCATCTGATCTTCAGTAACGAGCGTCGATGGCAGTTGTTGATGGATGTCTGTAGTTTGTTGGAAATCCCTTTCGTAACGCACCAAGTTTCTGAACAATGTAGGAGCACTGACTTGACGTTGGTGTTGAAAATCCGGATCTTGTTCCACATGCTGAGTGAAGTGCAGTAGATCTCCACACTGGTTTCAGGTTAATGAACGCCTGTCTTGCTGTGTTTTCGATACTGGCTGGCTTTGACGCTCTCGTCTGTGCCACCGCCTGTAGTTGAAACAGTGCTGCCTAGATGGGTGAGAGAGTCTACTTCCTTTAGGTTTCTCCCGTTGGTGGTGATTGGAGCTTTCTGTTGTTGTTGCTGGTGGCGTTGGTGTTGGTGTTGGTTGGGTATCTTCATCACCTCTGTCTTCTCCACGTCCACTAGAAGTCCCGTCTTCGCTGCCCTGCCTCACCTCTTCAGTTTTCACCTGTAGACCTTCAAGTTTGTGTGACATCAGACACAAGTTATTGGCGAAATCTAAATATTCTTCGGGGTCTTTTCATCGGTCCAGCCAGCGTATGTCCATCTTCTCGCTCCTCACAGCTTGTTGCATGATCCAGTCCACTACAATCAGGAATATCATGGGTGATGGTAGATAGCCTTGTTTTACTCCTGTCTTCACTTCGAAGGCATCACCGAGCTTCCCACTGTGAATTACTTGGCATGTGGCGTCTTCATATAGTTGTTGAATGAGGTTGATAAAGGTTTGTGGAATTGCGTAGTGTTGGAGCAGTTGCCTGCCAAATTACTTGTCGGTTGACGCTGTCGAAGGCCTTTTCAAGTCGATGAAGTTGAGGTAGAGAGTTGACTGCCATTCAGTGCTCTTTTCTATGATGACGAGAAGCGTTGCAATTTGAACCGCACATGATTTGTACTTCCTGAATCCAGCGCATTCTTTAGTCTCTCCAGGATGATGCGGCTTAATATTTGGCTTGCTGTGGGTGGACAGGGACAGGAGCGTGATTCCGTGCCAGTTCTTGCAAACACTCAGGTCTTCTTTCTTCGGGAGTTTGACAAGGTAGCCCTTCTTCCAATCAACCGTCAGGTACCTTCCCTTCCTCCCAGACCTTCTACACTAGTGGTGTGAGTGTGTCCGCTGTTGTCTCTGCGTCTGCTCTCAGTGCTCCTGGCGGAATTCCATCTGGTCCTGCTGCTTTCCCGCATCTCAGTAGCTTTACAGCCCTCAGGACTTCGACTTTCGTCGGAGGATTTGTGTGTGTGGCTGCAGGTGGCATTTCTGGACGAGTTGCAGTCGGTGGTGGTGGTGGTGGTGGATTGAAGAGCTTATTGAAGTGGTCGGCCCATCGTCTCCTTTGTTCCTCTTCTTTAGTAATTAGGTTACCTTCATCATCTTTTATTGGTTTCATCTGTTTTGATCTCTTCCCTCCCAGATGGTAACCTGTTTATTTGATACACTGTCGTCAGGTCTCTGTCTCTCCTACCTGCAGCCTGCAGCCTGTTCTGCTTCACTTGCCAGTGTTTCGTAGAAGTGTCTCTTGTCTTCGCGCGCACTCTTCTTCACTTCTTTGTCCAGTGTAGTGAGTGTTTTATGGGTTCTACTCAGTTCTTCTTCTCGTCGTTCATTCTCGCACTGGTTTATCTTCTGCTTCACCATCCTCCTCTCCCTGTTCAATCAGCTTCCATGTGGAGATCCTTCGAAATCCATTCCTTATCTTCTTTCTTCTTCCTTCCTAATACGGTTATGCAGGTTTCTTTCCACATAGCTTTCAAAGACTTCCAGAGCTCATCCACACAGGTTTCTTCAGGGATGTTGCTAGATATCTCCCATTTTGTCTTGATGGCTGACGTGAAGATGTCCCTGGTAGTTTCGTCCTTCAGTTCAGTCTGCGTTCTAGGTGTTGAACTTGAACTGTGGTCTATCACCAACTTCCTTGAAGGCTTTCAATATGATAGTGGTCTGAGCCTACATCTTCTCCTCTTCGTGACCTAGTGTCAAGTAGGCTGCGTCTCCACTTCCTTCACATTGAGATGAAGTCGATCTGATTTTTAGTGTGTCCTGGTGTCTGGTGAAATCCATGTCGCTAGCTTTGTGAATATCGTTGTACTTGAACACACTGCCTCCAATCATCAAATCGTTGAATGCACAGAATTCTTCAAACAGTTCTCCATTCTCATTCATCATTTCACCGAGTGCTTCTTGACCCATGGTTAGTTCTCTTCCTGTGTTGTCTGCTCCCAATTCGGCATTCATATCGCCCATCTAAAATAGCCGATGTCATATTTCTAACACAAAGGTTTTGGGACCCTATACACAGCTTCAGCCAATGGTTGGAATCTTACATCCTATAGATAGATAAGTTAATAAATACAACAGAAAGTGGCTTATATAGGGCAGATAGGAATGCTATAACCGGACGTGTGAAAACATAAAAAAGAAAGTGAGAAGCTGGATAAACCTAAAAAGTTATGCAGGATTAGAAAAAGAAAGTGGAAATGTATTTCTCATATCAGCAGTACACGGTAAAGTGGAATTTCAACGTCGTACGGTTTAATAAATAATGATACTGAAGTTACACTAATAGGATCAACAAACAGATAATGCTAGAAATGCCAAGTTATGTTTTTCATTCGCCTGTGTCATCCAAAACAAGAAGAAATCCTTCATTTTTATTACCTTTGTGAACTAAAATGTTATTGTGAAAAACAAATCTATCACTGAGGCTCCAGAAATTTAAACCTCTGCTCAAAATTACCTCTCAGCGTAAACATACAGAGGTATAGTGGGGATTGTATATACTTCTCTATTAGCTAACACATTTTGAAGAAAGTATCACAAGTTTGAGGTGTACTAATGATTACATCAGTACTTATGCAAAAGTCACACGATAAAAACGCCGCTGTAGGATTCCATTATCTATCGTATGCTGAAAAACGTTTCAAGAGTAGTCAGCTTTTAATCCACTCAAACTGCAGAACGTATGAAATCTCATATGAAATTGTTGAGTTATATGTTTAAAAGAAACAAATTTTACTGCTACCACTACACAAACCTGTTTTGGGATTAATAAATCCCCGAATACTTCGGAACGGGACAATTTTTAATAACACACCCTCCAACAGCAACCATATTCACCTCACTCACACAATATGATCATGTAAATCTGTCAGATCACCTCATGTTTAACATTTAAACACCTTTACAATTTCCTAATTAATTATTCGCTCTATTTCCTGCTGAGATTCTTAACTTACATATGTGAAGGATTACATTTTAAGCCATAGACTCCAACCTGTGACACTGAATTTTATCACTTTATCGATTTATGTGAAAATATCCTTTGTAATTAACAGTCCTTCTGGACGGGATCTTGAGCGATTAGATTGAAGCAGTCAGGTCAAATAATGCAACACTTCCTAGCTTATTCTTCTAAGCGATAATTACTCTCCACCATCTGCGGTCATTGGTTCCTTATAAAATCACTGAAATATATGATTTTGACAATCTGGTGTTCCACAAAGAGTTCTATGAAAATCCATCCTCAAAAGAATTTTATTCTATTTCAATCACTCTCCGCTTCGACAATCTCTTTGTTGCCGGTATTCATTGGATTTCCCACTTGTGTAATTCTGTTGAACATTAGAATGCGTAGAGAAATTTTCAGGAAACATTTTGTTAGTTTATTGTTTTGGTTATATATAAACTAAAACCACCCAATAATTTTGCATTTTCATAGTTTTTACAACGAGGTGCTGGTCCAGATCAAAAAACAACACTAATTCACTAGATAAACCGTTTATTATGCATCCATGATTTGATCCGTAAATGTAGCTGGTTAAATTTTATCAGTTAGATTTTTAAGGAATTAATTATTGGGCTCAAGTGGAAGAAGTTGTACACTTTCTCAGAGTCTGTTTGCACCAAAAATTATTATAATCCAATTTCATAATTATAAAATGGTTGGTTGTGGCTATCAGAAGAATTCAGGACGCTCGTTACGTCCTGTTTCGGACTCATCAGCTGGATGTACTTGCACCCCAGTGTTGTTTTCACTGGGGCTCGAACCTCGCACCCTTCGCTTCAAACACTAAGGCGTTATCGACTATGGCACGGAGGAACAGTAGCCACTCCTTGTACAACGAGTAGTAGTTATTACTATTTACTGACATACTTGTTATTCTCCGTTGTTTTGTTCGATCGACCAACCAATTTATCATAATTAACATTCAGGCAATATCAAGTTATCGGCATAGGAGCCCATATGCCAATAGAGGTCGAACAATTCGATCGAACAAAACAACGTAGAATAACAGGTATGTCAATAAATGGTAACAATTTCATAATTTATTGAAAAAACACCAGTAAATTGTATTTAGTGATGTAAGCTATTTGAAAGTATTTTTCGGTGAATAAATAATCATAGCATTTCGCTAACTTATTACTGCATTCGAGAAATTCTGAACAGGTTCAAATAAGATTTATATACATTTGATGGTCCGGCTACTGAATCATACAGCCAAGTGAGAAGTAATAGTGAAATCCCATCTTCGGTCAATTTAGATTGTAAATTATATGACCTACAGCACATGATCTTGAGAATTTATCAAGAAAATGTATCATAAAATCCTATGTTACTCATATTTAGTCTTGGTAAAGATTCCAATCAATTCCGAGATATTTGAAACATGTTCATCTGAAAAAGCGTCACAGGAGAAATTACATGTAATTCATCCTAATGCTAGTCAATACAAAGATATTTCTCTTGATATTTCTTGTGTTTTTGTTTAAAAACTGCACAACTATGATGAGTGCTTTGTGTTTTTTATTTTAAAAGCAATATACCAGATATCCACTGGTGCATGAGTGTTAAGTAAACTTTACTTTAACTGACCACTTCAATGCGTGTAAAACAGCCTCCTTGGCATTTTGAAGCCTTCCAGTTATGTTCGTCTTGATAAAATACAAAGAGGCAACTGAAGTCTACTTTGAACTCATTTGTTTTTACAGTGAACATGGTAGATAACCAGTTAACCTGTCGCTATTGTATATTTTGTAACTAATAAAATCTTGTCATACAAATAGTTCTGCTGATTCTAAAGTTTTTACTTTTGTGATTTTGGGGATCCAGATAACTTGGTATTGTCCACACAATTATTGTTTACAGTGCAGTAAAGTACTACAGTGCATTAAATTGATCATTTTAATATCAAAACTTAACAGGAAAATGCATTTCACCAAGGGAAATGCACGCACAATGAAAGGAAAGTACTTATCAAAAATTGCATTTAATGTCTGACCAAGCTGTATTGTCATTAATTTTAGATTAGTAGATAATGTAACTATTCACGATAATGACGACTAACAGACATAAATCATTCTATCTGTGAATGATGACCAAAGACTAAACAAACTTTAGGTCACTGTAGGGTGTAAATGAACAGTTCACAACTTATTTCCTCAAATACCGCGCACGATCGAATTTCAGTCTTAATATTTATTGCAGTGCGATCTCAATCAGATGGTCTTTAAAAGCAAACTGTTTAAGATAATTCTTTCATTTTTGAAAGAATTCCTAACTATTTTGTACTTCTGGAAACATAAAATCGTTGAAATTATGGAAAGGTTCACGTTATGAGTTGCGTTTAACCACTGAACCACAGTGGCTGTTTATTTAGTTTCAAATATGATAAACAAAATCTTCCCATTTACCAAATAGGCAGTATCCACTTACTCTTAGATAATCTTGAGACTTTTTATTGAATGTCTGAAGATAATTATTCCGGATTCTAACTGAAGACGGTGAATATTTATAAGTATTATTAATGAAATTATAGATATTTGTTACTCTTATGACGTCGAAATATGAACAAGATGATGGTGTATTTTTAAATTCTACAAGGAAAGAATCAGACATCTAGGTTACATGTTTATCCTCGAATTTCAGATAGGTTCTCCCTCAGTCTTGATGGTGGTGATGATAATGGTGGGTGTCAATGTGCACAAAACTTAAATCTACAGTTTACTGTGGATAAACTTGAACTAACGCCAAACAAAGTGTATTTTATTCTTCAGGTTAGTGAGCTAGCTGCCAACTTGATTGACAGACTTTTGTCCTTAAGGCTAGATAGCAACTTTGGTAACCATCTAGTGGCAATCTAAAACATGAAACAAAATTTTGACAGAAAGCACAACCTCGTAATTTAACTTTCATTTATGTATCTTTGGCTGTGTAAAGTTGAGAACCTTATCCAGTATAGCGTGGTTGAGTACTTCTATAGCTATTATGTTTACCATACAGATGCTTTAGTCCATCGATGAGAGTTGTCTGTGTCTATAAAGACACTATCAACGGAACAAAACAGTAATCGAGTTATATGCACATTTCAATTGTTTTTCGTCTGATACTGATTCATGATATAGAAATGAATTTAACTGTGCTTTATCTTGATGTAACATGATTGCATTTGAGGTTATACAGGAGTCAGTTGACCAAAGTAATCAATCTTACGTAGAGAATTTTTAAATACGTTTTATTAGTTCATTTCTTAAATTACAACTTCAAAACTGTTGAATTTTTAGTCATAGAATGTTGACAATCCATGGATGACAATAGAATTTAAAGGCAATTTAAAAATGAAAACTATAAATGTAAAGTTTACTTTTGTGTTAGGTGTAATTTACATATTAGTGATTAAAAATAATATTAATTTCGATGGTGAACTTTATGCGCATAATACAGACAGTTTACATTCAATGCCAACATATCATAAATGAAATCGGACGATTACTGAACAGCTAATAACACTGACAGAAAAAATTAATTTCAAGCATGAAGCTTCATTGTCTTTATAAATATCAGAGACAACACGCTTCCTTTGTCTAAGAGTTGCTTATAGAGAGTTTGTGAAACTAGCAAAGCATTTTCATTGAATTACATTCATGTAAATAAGACGTAAATTGTTTATATTTTGAAGTACTTATCAGGTTTTCATCCGCTTTGTTCACTTACATTGACACGATAAGCTGAACAGTTTGAGACTGAATATTGATTTTAAGACATAAAACACTGATTTATAGATGAAATGGGGAATCTAAACAAAATAGCATGGCTGAGGTACATATTATGTATTCTGAAATGACGCCTTACTGAAGGAAGACGTTGGCTCAGGATAACTAGGTTTTTAAAAGTTAAAATTAACGCAATCAGTCTGTGCAGAACTGAGAGTTGTTTTAGGCAAGAATGTAACTGTATATGGGTTACCAGGTTGTTTTGATAAATTTGGAATCAGTATTTCAGGACCATCCATTATATTGTTCAAAATCGAACACAGTAGTGTAAATGTATCACTTCTTAGCATCTTTCAACCACTCAATAACCTTCATTAATCAATTCTCTTCGATCTTTCATCTATTTCCTCTATCCTTAGATATTTCTAACGGTACTGATTCGATGATGTTTTGTTGATCTTGGAGACTAGTAAAGAAATCCAGGGTGGAGGTTTCATTTTATTTAGAACCCGTCAGCTGGATTTAGCTGACCTCAGTGAATGATGTTGTTCCCATTGAGACTCGGACAAAGTACCCTTCGCTTTCAACACCAAAGCTTTATCCACTTAGCCAGTGGGGTACGATAGCCATAGGAAGTTACAAGTATCATAACAACTGATTTTCTGTTTAATAGTAGTTGTTAGTTTTGTTGAAAGGAATGAAAACCGTAATATAAAAAAGCTAGCCATGGCTTATTTTGTCTTTTGAATTCTCCCCAATCCTGTAGTTGCGGCATTTATTCATAGATAAGTATACATGTAATCATAATGTATTCAGAGAAATTACCTGAGCTCTTTGTCTCAGCGGTCGAAGTTCTCGTATTATCGGTGCTAGTTGTGCACGTTTTGCATTTATTCGACTATTTAATTGTTGTACAATTTTTGATACTTCTTCCAATGTTGCGCCTTTTTGTTCATTTATAAGTGACATGTGTTCCGAAACCTTGAGTGAAAGAATAAAACAAAGCAATAGGGGAAAAGATGACGAAGAAGAAAATACTCGGGTAAGGGAAATTTAAAGTTTTCTCACCTGCAAAAATAAGTAGGTTCCTAGTTATTTGCAACACCAGTTCAACTAGTTGAACAAGAGCGAGCTAAGTTTTGAAGTCTAATATTTTTGTAAATAAAACCAAAAGATTAAGTGAATTCAACTGTTTAACCGTCTGAAGCAGCAATTATTTACAGGGTATTTATTCTCCATGAGTTGAATAGAATAGCTAACCGTTGATCAAGTTCCATTTTCTCTAACTTGATCACCAGTTCTTATATTCAGCCGTGAATAACAAAATCACACGTGTGCTTACTTTTTATACACTGATTTTCGAAGTGCTATGTGACGTATCGAAGTGTAGGACCTATATTAGTCAGAAACTTTGAAGGAAGTTTGTTAGCAGTCGCGAGAACTTTTAAGTTGAACAAATTAATGGTTTTATGCCTTCGGTATTGATTACTGTACAAACCCCAAAAAAATTAATTCAAAACTTGTAACTAGTTCAAGAATGGAGAATCAAAAATTCACCGTTAGATAATAGTGACCATTTTTCATAGATGGTTATCTTGAAGGTTGTACGCTATTTCACAAATCTTGTAGAGCGTTTCATATTATTTAACAGAAGAACTCAAACATTGGTTTCATTCTAATTTGAACCATAGAGAGGATATATATATGCGACATACTGCAATTTTAGTCACTTGTTTGACTTTGTAGTCTGTGGGTCAAAATTGATTGACATAGGTATACAAACTACAACAAACAATGAAATAAAAATACAACTGTTAGTCATACGATTTTGTGTTGCACCTTTGAGTGATAATAAAAATTATAGAAATGCGAAGTAAAACACAAATAAATGCATTTTTCCTTAATAATTAAGTACAGTTTGACAAATTGTTTTGAAATCGTGTAGATGACTAGAGAAAAATAGAAAGCTTTACATAACATTATCTACTGAGTTATAATTTGTCACTCAGTGTGCACCCAAGTCGTAACTATGACCATAAGGTCTCTTCACTAACTGGTTATTATTCAGTCACAAGGTTGCAGTTCAACTGTTAACAGCTTTCTAGCTTTTATCAATGTGATACAATGTGCCTGTTATTCAGTGTCGTCGGTTGGGAGGCATTCGAACAGCAAACTTGGTTAGTCGGAAAAACCAAGGCTTCCTATAACAATCTTGATTTATCCATATCAAAGCCAGTTAGTAACGGCAACTGAATCGTTCTTCAAGTGAACCCTTTGCCGGAAATATTTTAATGGTGGCACCATGCTACACTGTGGAAGAATTTAAAGAATTTTAACCATTAATCATGACTCCACAGCTGGACTATAACTTGATCAACAAGGTATCCGATGTTACTGAAATCAGTCCGTAATGACTTGTACTGCTGGGTAGTCTCAGACTAAGATGAAGCAGACATCCATTGCCAACTAGCCTTCCGTTGTCTACTAGCTTATTTTGCGTTTAATGATACTGGCTTACCATTACCTGTTGTTCGAGATCAACGTCTTCGAGATATCGAATTTGATTCTTCTGGTTGTGAATTGTTGAAATGACTACTAAAGTAAGACTGCTCTCGACTACTTTACTTGCTATGTAGGAGCAGAGAATTACAATAAAATGCAGCACGTATAAGTGAGGTGCATTTTTTCTTGGGCTTTTATGTGCATTATAAAAATCTTTAAACTAAGGAAAAAATAACTTGGAGCTGATGAAGAGACGTTTAGTGCTCCATAAGAAGTTAAGAAAGATGAAATTGTTAAATTTTAACCTATCACACATGTCTGTCGTTCAGTTAAGATATGTATTCAAACTATTACCTCGACAAAGAATGGGTCGTTCAACTGAATAGTACCGCACTAAATCGAACTTTAAAATAGAAAGAGTAATAAATGTATACGCGGATACGTACATTTATATTGACAGAAAACAAAATACCTAATGTAGATTTAGACAGCCAACAAAGTATTCTTGTTACGCATAATGTCGTATATACATGTTTCATGAAATACCACGGAAAACAGTGGTCTTTTTGATAAGTAACATCATGATATTCAGAGAAAAAATCTTTTTAAATATCGGTTTTGAGCCGTTACGAAGTTCCTAAAAATATTCCATGTTAAATGAAACAAACCATCAGGTGATCACCTGACCATATAGCAGATCGTATACTTCAAGGAAGAAAAAAATGGCCCATTTATTTTCTGAACCGAATTCAGGTGCATGTGAATAACTCGTATTGCTTGTGTCCCAGGTAGCGCTAGTGAACTAAAACTGTGTGAAGCAACTGAGAAACTCATTCTTGAAGCGTTTTTATGAGTGGTCGTCAATAAATACTTGGGAATGGATGAATATAGATTTCTATTTCACTTGATTGTCATTTAGCTCTACTAAACTTCTAATAGTAAAACGGAAACATGTTCTACCTACTTGTTATTAACAACACAATCCAACCAACTTTAAGTGGCAATTTAGTAAAGAAATGTTACTTTAGAGAGGAAACTATCGTCTTGCTGCAGATACTTGTTATAACAGTAATCGATCCCTCACCTTAGGTATCAAAGATTGATAACGTTTGTGCCATTATGAACAATCTTAAGCGAAGTCATCTAGTATCTTCAAACACTGGTTTATACTATCTTCAGGACTCCACCCTGTCAGCTCACACCTCTCTGTACTGTTCAGACCAACAGTGAACTTGACCAAACCACTGTTATCCTTCTTTCAACCCATTTCTACCACGTCTAACATTGCACACTGAGAAAGGTACTGAGCTGACATGCGCAGCACATGTCAAGATACAACTGGTGAAAGTCTACAACTTCATTGACTAACTTTTCTTCCCTCCTTAGCAGCCCAAGCCTAACAATTACATTACTCACATTATCTTCTAATCCCGACGGCCACAACTAAAAGCTGCACAGTAAAGCAGAATGAATAGCAGTGAAGCATACTCGGCTTTTGAATTCTGGTGGATATGTTTCTGGTGCCAGAGATCCTGTCCGAACACAAACTATCAGGGCTAATGAGACGTTGCAAGTAGATGAGGTCATTAAAGTATTTTATCACTTTATCTGCAATCCTTAAATCTGAAGTGGATGCGGAACACTCCCGAAGTATCATCTTACACTTTTCCGCCTACAGAAGACCACATTTTGTCAACATCTTTGACTGATGGAACGGGATCGTCTTTGTACTCCAAGCCCACAACGCATCTTCCTGGGTTTAAGTCACTCCCAGTGAAGTCGAAGACACCTAACGGTTATATCCACTAGCACATTTTTGACAGAGCTTATTTACCTATTTGTTCATTATAATGCGAACACGGTACAGCCAGGGTACCGAGAAATGCGTCACACAAAATGGTATAGCAACGTTGTTAAGATATAAACCATGGAAAGTGGATAAGTAAGAAATAAAAGCCATAAGAATAACATGATTAGAAGGGCGACTGAGTAAGATACTTTCAAGACGAAATATTCATTACTTCTCATCAGCAGAAGATAGAAGGAAGCTACAGCATGATCTCCACTGGTTTTCATTCTGAGCCATATCTGATAACATCTCAAGCCACTGGGTTGCGTGATCTCTCAGACCCCATTCAGCGACGTACCAACAAATGCTAATCCGATACAATTATCTTTCATCCCACGGTGTCACGTCATACACTGACCACCCTTTTGCTTTTTCTATACCATCCCAGGGCTACCAAACAATGAACGATATAAAAATCGCTGAGAAGACATGTGTAACACATGTCCATGTAACGAAACCGGTGTTTCTAGATAAATCCACTTACTGAATATTGATTTCTGTCATGTACAAACACACGTTGTCGTACCCAAGAATTACTTACATGGTGTTGCCACGAGATACGAGTAATCCTACGGAGACAATGGTAATCAAAAACAGAGTCATTGAACATCCATAGCTCGAAGAGGCCAAGTTTCACAGCCGCAAAGCAGAACTCCTCTCACCAAAGCGTTATAAATGCGACGTTTTACGGTCAGAGGAGCATCGTGACAGCGCCAAAGGTGGCCTAGACCGGCGTACGCCACTCTGGGTTACGGTATGCGGTTAGAAATTTCATCATACATCTCCAAAAGCACTCACACAACTACCCAGATACACGAACTCTCCAACTACTTCCAGAGGCTCACCACCAAGAGTGAGCGCAGGTACAGGCTGCTGAAAATCTTGCAAAAGTACTTTGCACTTCGATAATGCAAAGCATACCATTCTTAAGGATACTAATCACCATGTGATTAACTGCGACTTGAGTAGCCTGTGTGTTGTCGCACAGTAAGATGAAATCATCCGTATTTTCAAGGTCGAATAGCCATTCTTTGGGTAGCGGATCTACACCATAATCACGCACCTTCTTCAGAGCTGTCTCAAGAGTGTCAACAGTGGCAATGTTAAATAGGAATGAAGAAATCCTGCAACTCTTCCCAAGATCCCTGCTGGTTTGAAACGTTTTGGCGTTTCGACGTTTTTGGTAACAGACTAACACTCTGATAATTGTCACAAACATTACGCTGATCCTTTTTAAAGATATGAACAACAATGGCTTTATTCCAGACTATTGGAACATTTTCAGTCTGCCTCGCCTTTTCAAACAATCTAGTTAGTTCACACACTTAAGTCATTTCTCCACCCTAAATGAGCGGAGAGTAAATTATTTAAGACAAATGCCTTGTAGCGTTTCAGAACGTGGATTTCCTTATGGAACTCCGCTTCTTCCGGTGGGTCAGCATTAACTGACCATAGAGCGCAATACACTGAAGCTGAAAATGCTGGAGCCATAGGCCAGCCAAACTGCTTTTCGAAGTGCTCCCTCCCTCCAGCGTTCCAGGCGTTTTAAAAGATTGTTTATCAGGCTACGATCTACCTAGCAAACCATTTCACTGACACTAGGCTTTTTGTTGCCAGTGGTTTGGATAGG